TCATTGCAGGGGGTTGGGACTAGATGATCCTCAGGGTCCCTTCTAACTATACAATTCTATGATTCTGTGTTAGGTTCTAATTGGCCATTTGCAATATAAAGGCTCATCTAGAATCACCTTTGCTGGTGACTGGGAAATTATGAACTGAGTACCACACCAAAGAATGGATCTGTTTTTTTAATCAGGCAGCCTGCATGCCTTTTGCACTAAAGAATTGTATCACCTTGAGCAGGAGGCAAATTTCTGCTTGGCTGATTTAACCTTTTGATATTGATGAAAATCCCACTCAGATTTTTGTACATTCTTTAGAGAGAAGATACCACTGTCACTAATGGCAGCATCCCATCCAGAGCAAATAGTGATTTTCATTGGAACCGCAGCACAGGGGAGAATCTTCCTCTGCCTTATTCCCCCAGACCAGGGGTCTGCAACCCGCGGCTCCGGAGCCGCATGTGGCTCTTTTACACCTTTGCCGCGGCTCCGGGGTGGATACTAGCGAGGGGAGGAGGTGCATTGTGCGCCCCGACACTCCCCACTGTGGCGGGCGCTGTACTGGCTGTGACGTCGCATTGGGGGCGGTGTGTGGGTTAGTCACGGCACCATCCCGACGTCACCTTCCCGCCCGCCCGCTACATTGTAAGGGGCATGTACGCTGGTCACTGCATTGAAAGGGGGCATGTACGCTGGTCACTGTTTTGAAGGGGAGTGAAGAACACACACACACACACAAAGGTAACTTGTTAATTTAGCGTTTATTTCTATGAGGAGGAGTAATTCTGAGGGGTCAAACAAAGAAATAATAAAAAAGTGACAAAAAAATTATTTTTATAATGACGAGTTTTGCGGCTCCCAGTTTTTTTTTCTTCGGAAACGGGTCCAAGTGGCTCTTTTTGTCTTAAAGGTTGCAGACCCCTGCCCCAGACCCATGCCTGGTACATGGGCATAGCCAGGATTTTTGTTAGCAGGGGCAGGACTTTGTTGGGGGGGGGGGCAGAACCGATGTGATTGGTCCGTTAGATAAGTATTTCTATTGTTTTACTTAATCGAGGGGGGGGGGCAGCTGCCCCCCCTGCCTCCCTCTTGGCTATGCCCATGGCTTGGTATTTTAAAATGAAAATAGAAAACCAGATATGTGATTGTGCATTTCACATCTTGTTAGGCCCTCGATGTGTTTAATATATGGTGATGATTCAGTCTTAACTTTCAGAGGGTTACATGTAGGTTTAATTCTTTTTCTTTTTTTGCATTGGATTGATTTCTTTTTGAAACTGTTTTATTTTTTAAAAGACGTTTTAAAGAAAATTATAGTGAAATTAAAGGTCAATATTAAACTTAAAATGTGGATTTTTATCCATCCTGCTGTATGCCATATGTCTTGTGTGTATCTGTATCCATATTTTATATATAGACTTGAAACCACACACTCGCTTGCAGGGTAGAGGGAGAGGGAGAAGTCACCACTAGCCCTTCATATGTCCTTTTTCAGGCGAAGAAATTGAAATGCCGAGGCAGCAAAGCTTTCTCAATGACAGCATTTTGGCTAGTTCTGGTGGCCTCTTGACTGATCACAGTTTTTTGAGCTTCACTGAAGACAAAACTGCATTTGCTGAAGATGCCAATTCATTCAAGTATGATGGGTTTGGAGATGAAGAAACTGCAGGCGATATGATTGGTACGTATGAACAAAATCCAATAGGCACAAGTAACTGGGAGCGTTTCCTGAATTTCCCACCCTGAAAGGAAATTAACGTGACTTAAGCATGAGCTGCTGGCCAGTCCTGCACTTCAGAAATTATGATCTGACATTTCTACACTACCTCCTAAATATGGGGCAGTTAACAATATAAAGGCAACCCCCCCTGTAAAATTATACATTATAAACAATTTTGAATACATGTATGTACTTAGTAAAATACAGAATGGACTTATGACTGTGTGGGTTTAGGGTGTGGTGAACACATATTTGTGTGAGGGGGTGATACCTGCTGCCTTGAATTAGGTAATCGTGAGGCTGGGGTGGGGGGTGGCTAATGCCTTTTTGCCCGCCTTCCCTGCTTTGTTGAAATCTTTTTCCCAGGGCGGCTAGTGGTAGATTAGCCTGCAGGAGGAGGAACCATTCTAGCTGGAAATAGGAGTTGGTGCCTGGTGTTTGCCTGCCTTGCTTTCCTGGAGTCTTTCTCCCAGATAAGCCCTAACACAGCTGTCTGGTAAATCCCCACACCCACCCCAATGTATAAAGTACAGTGGTGCCCCGCAAGACAAATGCCTCGCAAGACGGAAAACCCGCTAGACGAAAGGGTTTTCCGTTTTGGAGGTGCTTCGCAAGACGAATTTCCCTATGGGCTTGCTTTGCAAGACGAAAATGTCTTGCGCGTCTTGCCATTTTCCCCCCCCGCTTTCCCCCCCTTTTTCTAAGCCGCTAATAGCCTTTTAGCAGCTCAGCCGCTAAGCCTTTAATAGCCGCTAAGCCGCTAAACCGCTAATAGCGCTTATCCGCTTAGCCGCTAATGGGGTTGCTTCGCAAGATGAAAAAACTGCTAGACGAAGAGAATCGCGGAACGGATTCTTTTCGTCTTGCGAGGCACCACTGTAACAGTATCTTGTAAACCAATTGTTAAGTCCATTTTCCCTTAAGATGCTGTTCTTGGAGCTGAGCCGAATGACCACGTTCTTACAGACCTCGACATGGAGGAAGAATTTTCTTTACTCCAAGAGCTTCCGACTGATGATACAGCAGGTGAGTTATTTCCAGAGATGGCTCTGTGAGTCTAACAGCAAAAACAACAACGTGGTTGTTGGATGAACAGGTTTTTTGTGGCATCTTCTTCTTTGGCAATCACTTGTAGCTGAGTAAGATTGTCTTCCGTGAACATGGTCTTAACAGCGAGTCCATAAGTGAGTCCGTTATTATGGCATAAGCTCTCATTGACTAGAGTCTTCTTCACCAGATGCATGAAGTGTTGTCATGAGTACATGGATATAGAGGGAGTAAAAACTGTAAAGAGTGAGATGGAATAGAAATGAAATGCAAATAAAATAAAGTCTGACAATTTTGTGGAGTACTTGAGAAGCAAAGAGACCATTCACTGTGGCAGTAATGGATGATAACACACCCTGTCACTGCTAAGTTAATAAACAGCAGTGGTGGGAGAGGAAATCATGAACTTGATTCAGGCCTAAATGGATAGAATTGCAGTTCTTGATAAGATCCAATTCAGCAGCCTCTTTTGTAGGAGATGTAAACTTATTTATTGATGCTTATAGACTGCTTTTCAAAGTGTCTTGCAGTAAAAACAATATCCAAAACCACTGCAACATTAAAATACCAGATAATAAAATATTAACAATTAATTATGAAAATTCATCTGAAAATCACAAGGATTACTTAGAGCAGAAGAGTGTTTCAGGCAAAAGTAGAGTGTTTTGGCCAAACAAGTAGAGCAGCAGACCAATAATAGAAAGCAAGAACAACAGAAAACTACGTATGACAGAAAGTCTGGGTAAATACAGTGGTACCTCAGGTTAAGAATGTACCGTATTTTTTGTCCCATAGGACGCTCCGTCCCATAGGACGCACCTAGTTTTTTTGGGGGGGAAATAAAGGAAAACATTTTCCCTTTATTTCCCCCCCAAAAGCCGGTCGGGGAAACCGAACCAGGTCGAGGAACAGCGGGATGGCGGCGCTGCGCCTCCCTGCTGTCCCCCGAGCTTGTGGGGCTGGCTGATTTCTGCCTGGCGCGAGGGGCGCCCTGCTTCAGGGTGCCCCGCGCGTCGGGTGGCAGGCTGCTATCCGCAGCATGGGGAGCCCTGCGGGGAACTCCTGCAGGGCTCCCCACGCTGCGGATGTCTGTCCGGTGGGCGGGGCTGCTATCCGCAGCCTAGACAGCCCTGCGGGACCTCCCGCAGGGCTGCCTAGGCTGCGGATGTGTTCCTGAAGCGCCGGGCGCTCTGCTTTCAGGGCGCCCGACGCTCCGGGCAGCAGGCTGCTATCCGCAGCGTAGGGAGCCCTGCGGGAACTCCCGCAGGGCTGCCTAGGCTGCGGATGTCTTCCCGAAGCCTGGAGAGCTAGAGGGGTCGGTGCGCACCGACCCCTCTCGCTCTCCAAGCTTCAGCGAAAGCCTGCATTCGCCCCATAGGACGCACCCAGATTTCCCCTTCATTTTTGGAAGGGGAAAAAGTGCGTCCTATAGGGCGAAAAATACGGTAATTCATTCCGGAGGTCCGTTCTTAACCTGAAACTGTTCTTAACCTGAAGCACCACTTTAGCTAATGGGGCCTCCCGCTGCCACTGCTGCACGATTTCTGTTCTCATCCTGAAGCAAAGTTCTTAACCCGGGGTACTATTTCTGGGTTAGCGGAGTCTGTAACCTGAAGGGTCTGTAACCCGCCAGTAACATCCTGATGAAAAACCTGTTTTCTGTAGGCAGTATGAATTTGTTCTACATCCTAGATGCTGCTACTGAAAAGGACCTGTTTGCAGTCATACAGATTTGATAAATTCAATTCCATGGATTTAGGCTTGAATCAGGATAATGGTTTCCTGTTAATATCTGTTGCTCTTTTGTGAATGGTCACTTTGTTTATGTCGTAATATCTGCCTTTAAGCTGCCACAAGCTTCTTTATTGTTTTAGAAATTAAACTTGTGCAAGTGAAGTCAGAAAGTCCCTCTGGTCCCCTCTAGCCCTGTTTGAGCCAATTGTAAAGGCTAATGCAGGAGCATAACATAGTAATATTGAATGCACATTTTAATTAGCACAGTTTCTGCCCTTAAAAAACAACAACACCACTAGTGTAGGTTTTAAATTTGCTTTATAGGGTAAGACTACACTTACCTGGGAGTAATTTCCCATTGAATTGTTGATTACATGCAATAAAATACAAGAATGTCATACAGTATGCTAAACATTAAGTGGCAAGACATTCCTCAGGCACATGTACTAAATAACTAATTTAAAAAATGGAATCCTTCCATATAATGTACCATTCAGCCTTTCATTATTTACCATTGTGGAATAATTCTATACTGGTTATGGGTTGGTGTTTTGCAGGCCATCCTAGACCTGAGCAGGAAGCAAGAAGCAGCCCAATTAATGAAACCACCTTGTTGCTCAGTGAGGAAGAAGAATTTGTACTTGAACCACTTGACAATTCAGGTTAGATTGGTCGCATTTTGCTCTTCCCTCAAAACATAAAACTTGGGAGTCCTCAACACCACCTCCAATGCCATCTCTGTCAGCTCAGGCAAGGAGACGGCTGGGCAACTAGGCAGGCAGTAAACTAGCAGAATCCCTAATCTGTTCCGATTACCCAGGAACCCCCACACTAGATCCCCACACAACTGGACAGAGAGCCTGAGAAAAGAAAGATGGGGTTTCTACAGACCACAACAACTGCCCCTCCCTGACTCCTAAGTCTGCCCTGATCTGCACGGTATGCCCAGGTAGGAACAGCTGGGTGAGAGCAACTCCAGCCTGTGCTCTCTCACACACACACCAAAGTCTTAGTGAAGCAAACCAGATCTGCCTCCTCATCCACAATCAGATCATGGATGAGGGAGATGTTATTCAGAGCCGTCCTGGTATTAAACAGCAGCAGCCGCAGACTAAGGGTTGAGCGATAGGATAGGTTGGGGGGGGGGCTGGCACACAAAACAGATACTAAGTACGTTTCCGAGCACAATTCAAAGTGTTGGTGTTGACCTTTAAAGCCCTAAACGGCCTCGGTCCTGTATACCTGAAGGAGCGTCTCCACCCCCATCGTTCAGCCCAGACACTGAGATCCAGCGCCGAGGGCCTTCTGGCGGTTCCCTCACTGCGAGAAGTGAGGTTACAGGGAACCAGACAGAGGGCCTTCTCGGTAGTGGCACCTGCCCTGTGGAACACCCTCCCTTCAGATGTGAAGGAAATAAGCAACTATCCTATCTTTAAAAGACAGCCCTGTTCAGGGAAGTTTTTAATATTTAACGCTGTATTGTTTTTAACACTTGATTGGGAGCTGCCCAGAGTGGCTGGGGAAACTCAGCCAGATGGGTGGGGTATAAATAAATTATTATTATTATTATTATTATTATTATTATTATTATTATTAACTACCTTTACTGTGTGCCCCTTACCTGGCCTGCATCACATCCCACACCATCCCTTCTCTCACCCACAACCACTGAGTTTCCTGCTCTCCCGAGCTCCTCTCCTCCTAGACCAGGGGTCGGCAAGGTTTACCTTGCCTGGGCCGGTTCACTCCAGCAGAGATCCCTCCGTGGGCCGGATTGTGCGTGCCCCCGCGATTTCCAGCTTCTGTGTCTGCGCAGATGCGATTTTCAGCGCCATGAAAGCAAGTCCCTGCACCGTGCTGCGCCGGTTTAGTGCAGCACGCAGGGACTCACCAAGTGAGCAGCTCATGGACCAGTTAAATGACCCCCGTGGGCCGCTTGTGGCTCATGGGCCTTAGGTTGCCGACCCCTGTCCTAGACCACTGTTTCCCAAAATTGGGTCTCCAGCTGCCTTTCCCATTATCCCTTGCTAGCTACAAAATGATGAGAGTTGTAGTCAAAAAACAGCTGGAGATCCAAGTTTGGGCAACACCATCTTCTCTCCCTTCCACTCAACAATTAAAATAAACACAAAAACAATTGGGACAAGGCCAGTCCCACAGCAGATGATGTTAAGGAGGGTAGTCTTGCACTTGCTCCGAAGTTACCCCCAAGTAGGGTTGCCATACATCCAGAATTTCCCAGACATATCCAGAATACTGCTATGTGTAGCAGTGTCAGGGCAGAAATCAGTAAATGTCCAGGAAAATCCGGGTGTATGGCAGTCCATGTCGGCAGTACCGTTTTTCCATTAAAAAACCCCTCCAAAATGGCTTTTTATGATTTTGCCAAACAACTTTTCTATCTGGATTTTCTCCGTTTGAAATAGGCAGCGCTACCCCAAAGGCAAAAAACTGATCCTTTGTACCATATTCCTTGGGTTGACTTTCAATATTTCACTTGTGAATGTGCCTTTTATCTAGTTCTCACAAGGAAACAAAGAAGGAAAAAGAAAAGAAAGTTACTTGTTGATTATGTGAATCAGCTAAGCAGAAAAGCTATGCAAAACCAGCTTATGAACTATGAAGACACATTAACTGCATTAGATATTGCACCCCCTACAAGAAGGCTGATGATTTTACAGGACTTGGGGAGTGCGGATAAACTTCTGGGCAGACCTACCCAGACTACAATTAATGAAGATTTGCAAAAGGTAACAGTTTGTTATTTTGGGCGCTTCCAGACAACCTATTTGTTGAGTAGTCTTTGTGATTTCTTTGCAGGGAGATAAGATGATGTTGACTATTTAGTGCGCATTCATTCTGATGTTTTTTGTGGGGAGTTTCCTATGCTTTCCAGGATATTTTCCAATCACTTTCCTTCTTGCAAAAAGTCTGAACTTTGGGGGAAGTGTGTTTGCTGCACAAGACCTCCCAGCAACAGTCAAGTGTAATTTTGCAACCTGAATTTGGCAATTTGTAATTGAATCCCACCTGAAAATCACAACAATCTGGAAGAACACCATATATGCTCCTGCATTGTTGCCATATTTATGTATATACCTTGAAATATTGTGTGTTCAGAACTGCTCCATCCAATATATTTTCACAGGCTTTAATGTCTGGGGTATCGCAAAGATCACAGAGCAAGTACGAGATTATCAGAATTATCCATATGTTCTTCAGATCCAATAGTCAGCTATTAAAGGTGCTTCTGTTGCTAAGCATTTAAAAACAACAATAAATACCTACTACAACGATACAAATAAAAATAGCTAAACAAAATGGCAGGACTACAGGTCCTGCCCCAGTAAAAGAGGAAATATCGCTCTTCAAATTAAGAGCCAGAAGCTTAGGGGAAAGGGAAAGAAATAGTTCCTAAAACTGGCTAAAGGTAGCACTTGACATCCATCCCTCTTAGATGTTTGTTAGGTTTCTTTAGTGTGTTCCCAAGTAATCTGATTTGTTCCTTAATCACCTGGTCTTGGAAAGGAAGGTCTCTTGGAAGGTCTTCTAGGTGCACTACAGTTAATGGAGATTTCTCAGGGGAAGAGGTGGCTTAGGGCTCAAGTTTGCCTACATCCCAAGGGAATATATTCAATAGTGAGTTAGGTAAAGGTAAAGGTACCCCTGCCCGTACGGGCCAGTCTTGACAGACTCTAGGGTTGTGCACTCATCTTACTCTAGAGGCCGGGAGCCAGCGCTGTCCGCAGACACTTCCGGGTCACATGGGCAGCGTGACGAGGCTGCTCCGGCGAACCGGCACCAGAGCAGCACACAGAAACGCCATTTACCTTTCCACTATAAAGTGGTACCTATTTATCTACTTGCACTTAAGGGTGCTTTCAAACTGCTAGGTGGGCAGGAGCTGGGACCGAACGACGGGAGCTCACCCCGCCACGGGGATTCGAACCGCCGACCATGCAATCTGCAAGTCCTAGGCGCTGAGGTTTTACACACAGCGCCACCCGCGTCCCTTAATAGTGAGTTAGGCATTTCTAAATATCTGCAGAAGCTTTCTTGATCAATGAAGAGGTTAAGCAAGTCAAGAGCTGTCATATTAGTTGTCACTTACTAAGTTTTTGATTCATTAATATGAAAGTCATATTCCAGAATTGGAGAGAAAAAATATATATGAATACTGTTTTTACAGCTCTTTGCTAAAAGTCTCAGGTATGGAAGAAAAAGGTTGCAAGAGCTTGCAGTTGAAAGAAGCAAAGAACAAGATGTCCAAGGCAAGATTTTAGAATTATGTCTGTTTTCAACTAGTTGTTATAACTCCCCCATCTGTAGCTTTTGGGGGAATGCACCACATTCAGCAAGTGTACCCTAAAGAAGAGCTTGCTTAAATTCAGAAGGTGCAGATCTGTGTTAGCACATATTCCAGTAATGGAAAAGTCATTTATCAGCTGAGCCATGAAATAGCTGTATGACTGGGCCCTGTCGCACAGTGGTGGTGTGGTTGGACGGGTGCAGTGGTCAAGAAGTTAAGTGTGATTATCTTATTGCTATTTTATTGTCAATTCAGAATTGCCAACAGCAGAGATTCCAAAAGCTATGCAAGACACAACTTATCAGTTTGTGTCACAAAGTAGCAGAGAAGAAATGGGAAATAAAGAAATTATTGAAGCTATGGTAAGTACTTTCAGTGCAAAGTCATATTACTGTGCACTTAAGTTTTCCATGGCTCCATGAAAAGCCTGAAATTACTTCCCTTCCAACTAGGGGGTGGGGGAGAGGAGAGAGATTGGGGTCTGTGCTCTACATATCACTCCTTCCCTTTCCCGGAGTAGTCTGGAAAATATTTTAGCCCTCTTAAAGTCTGTCAGCATAATGCAGCTCCACCACATACTGGGAATCTGGAAGCTCAGCCTTTCTCAATGCACTACTGACAGACAGACATACTTAGACCTTTTGGTTTTGTAAGGGTCTTGCCTTGATTCCTTACTGTTTAACAAGCTGAGTTTGGGTAGGTTCCTCTGGGGTTTTTCCTAAAGTCTGAGATATTAATGATACACCATAACTGGGTACTTTAGCTGAAATTGCAGTTCATACTATAAAAACTAGTAGTCTTCTTTGGCGATCCCTCGTAGCCAAGTAAGATTTTCTTTTATAAACACGGTTTTAACAATGAGTCCGTAAGTGACTGTGGAGGCCAATTCTAGATCCACACGTCCTTCCACAGTGGGGACATTGGTTTCCAGGTGGGAATTGATCACGGTGTGGATTTGCCAATTGTGCCTTCCTCTTTGCACGTTTCTCCCTTGTGTCCTGAGTTCGAGTGTCTTCAAAGCCCACGACACCTTTGGTAAAAGCTGTTCTCCAACTGGAGCGCTCGCAGGCCAGTGTTTCCCAGTTGTCGGTGTTTATATTACATTTTTAAGATTTGCCTTGAGAGTGTCTTTGAACCTCTTTTGTTGACCACCAGCATTACGCTTTCCATTTTTAAGTTCAGACTAGAGTAGTTGCTTTGGAAGATGATCATCAGGCATCCACACAACATGACCAGTCCAACAAAGCTGATGTTGAAGAATCATTGTAGTGTCATCCTGCAGACTATAATTCCCATTGGGAGCTTATTTTCCTCTTTTCGTTTTTCTTCTCTTCCTGTCTCACTCCCTTATTAATGCTTCCCTTTTTGAGTTGTCCTTTTAGGACAGAAAGCCTCCTCATCATCCCAATACCTAAGCCATGCTGTCATATCCATATTCTGCTACAAGTGGAATTAGTGACAGCCCCCCCCCCTCTGTAAGACTACAATCATAGTCAAAACAAAAAAAATTCCTTCTAGTAGCACCTTAAAGACCAACTAAGTTAGTTCTTGGTATGAGCTTTCGTGTGCATGCACACTTCTTCAGATACCTGAAGAAGGATCTGAAGAAGTATCTGGTATCTGAAGAAGTGTGCATGCACACGAAAGCTCATACCAAGAACTAACTTAGTTGGTCTTTAAGGTGCTACTAGAAGGAATTTTGTTTTGTTTTGACTATGGCAGACCAACACGGCTACCTATCTGTAACTGGAACTACAATCATAGGTACACTTGCCTTAGAATCATAGAACTGTAGAGTTGGAAGGGACCCTGAGGATCACTGAGTCAACCACAGCAATGCAGGATTATGCAGCTGTCCCATACAGGGATAAAGCCTGCAACCTTGGTGTTTTCAGAACCATGCTCTAACCAGCTGAGCTAGTAAGTGAACTTAGTGGAGCTGACTTCTGGGTAAACGTGTGAGATTGCAGTGTAAAAAAGTCTTGGAGTAGAGCAAAGAAAGACTACACATCCAGTTATAAGAGTTTGGATTTGGATTTGATATCCCGCTTTATCACGACCCGAAGTGTAGCACCCTGCTTGTGGTTAACGCTTAGCTGGAATGAAATATTCAACGCAGCAACAGAGAAATTAAATAATTATTTATTTGTCAGACAAATAAATGAGAGGCACAGTGGTATATGATTACCAAGCTCTGGCCTGGGCTCCTGCCATTATGGCCAGCACTTATATTCCCTTAATCCAGCCCCCTTTGCTCCTCCTTGGGCTGCCTCTGTCCCATCAGCCTGGTTGAAATTCCTATTGGCTGATTAGTATAACCAATCACAAAAATACACTCATATCCTCCTGTCCTTATAAGGGAGACAAAGAGCTATATATAAATGACAAATAAGTAATATATATCTTACATGGAATCTTAATTACCAGCTCACCTCTTGCCCTATTGCCTTCTAAAACAAATGGTTAATCTTAAATTTTTATCTTAAACATATTGTCAAGGATCTTGAGTTTCACATCAATATTGAAAGAAAACCTTCATTTGAAGGTTTCTAAACAAATATCTGACAACTTATATATCAGAATTGCTCAGATGGCGTCTTCTTGTCTGGCAGGGGGCTGGACTCAATGGCCCCTGTGGTCTATTCCAATTCTAGGACTCTATGATTCTATGAAATAAGAATCTAACATCTAAATTTGTTACTTTCTAAATCCTTTGCATAGTTACATTTAAGCCAGCATATTTAATACACAACACAGGTAGCTTCTTTAAAAGAATAAAGCCTTTGTAAAGAACTCAGTAAAAAGGAACACAGTAAAAAAACCATTTTAAAAGAAGCCTCTTCCCTGTTCATACTTCCCCCCCTTCTCCAGCCAGTCGCTTTCTCTTCCAAGTGCTCTTGACCTTTTGTCCTGTGACTCAAGTTTAAGAGAGGCCCATGGTTTTATTTTACTGTTTAACTCATTCCTAATTATATTTATCTCTGCCTTTGTTATCTTCTGTAACATGTAGGGTCAATGTCCTGCTCTTTAACCTGTAATTTCCCCCCCCTTTCACGACTTTGAGAATTGTTTTCTGCTATAAATCAAAAGGGGCCCCTTGTCTTAGGAGAATGGCCCAGGTTTTCTCTATAAACAGCTGGCCTTCTTGCCTGGCATGAAACATTTGAAAATCTAAGCCCATTTAATTTAGGAACCTGATCAAATATAAGCCAATATATGCCTTGATTAAAAATGCAGTCTATATTCAGATGCCACAGAAGGAGTCTCAAAGCGGCTAACATTCTCCTTTCCCTTCCTCCCCCACAACAAACACTCTGCGAGGTGTGTGGGGCTGAGAGACTTCAGAGAAGTGTGACGAGCCCAAGGTCACCCAGCAGCTGCATATGGAGGAGCGAAGATGCGAACCCGGTTCCCCAGATTACGAGACTACCACTCTTAACCACTACACCACACTGGCTATATTATGGGGGAAACTATGCTTTCAACAGAATTGGGGCCTTGTTCTTAGGTGAAATTCTAATAGATTCAGCTTATTTAGCTTCTACATCTCACATTTAGTTCAAAAAAAAGGAACCATAAAATTCAACACAGAAGCTCTGTCTAGCCTGAAATATTCATCTGCTACTGAGTAATGAACATATGCTCAAAAAGAACATTACTGAGAAGTAAATTTTGTTTGCTAAGAGACTGATCACTCCCCCTCTCCCAAACTTGCAATATCAGGAAAGTGTTGGTGGAGTGTCTGCTGCGTCTGATGGCTCTACCCAAGAGACTTCTGTAAGACTAGAGGTTGAGGGTAAGCAGGCTGCAGTGGAAAAGGTATGTTTTATGATTTGTTCCAAGTTTCATCTGTCACCCAATAAGTAAGAATGTTTAGGTCTGGTATAACTGGATCCAATGCTATCCACGGACTTTTAGGGTCATTCTTGAGGATATGATTAAGAGCTGCTTTCAGATTTCACATTTGTTGTGAGTTTGGCAACTAGCAGCCATGCAGAGGATTTCCCCCCTACCCTGTGCTGTTTTCCCAGTGAAACAAAACAATAACACACCACCACCACAAACACATTTAAAAAGCAGTAGAATATTAATCAGCCCCAGGCGTGCTGCCTAAAAGAATACCCTCCCCAAGAAGGCCAATCTTGGCTCCTATCCTGAGATCCTTCAGAGTCCAAATTAAAAAACCTGACTCTTCAGAAAGGCTAGTGATAAGAGTATCAATCTCTAGCAATTTCAGGGCTACGAGAAAAACCTGTAATCCTGGAGAGCTGTCCCAAGTCAGTTTAGAAAATACTGATCTAGATGGACCAGTGGTCTGAGTCTGTGGAAGGCGGAGTCCTGTGTGCTTGCTTCTGTTCCTGCTGCTATGTTTTATGAGTTTTCATCTGAAAATGTAATATGAATTATAATTGTATTTGCACTGTTGTTTGTTGGTTGATTTTTGCATGTTTAGCGTCTTCATTTTTGTTGAAAACTTACTTGGTTTAAGCTGGGGTGGTGGCCAACTTGTGGCCCGACTCCAACTCTCATCAACCCTGCGGTCAATGGTCATGGAAGATGGGAGCTGTAGTCCAACAACATCTTGAGGGCCACAAGTTGGCCACCCTGGTTTAAACCTTTAAGCCTTAAAGAAAAATAGGATTTTTAAAAAATACTTTAAAAATAAATGTGTAAGTAATAACTGAGACAGCTTTGTCACTTTAAGTGTACTGTACAGTTGTACCGACACTTTTCAGTAGCTAAGATACTAGTCTAACCATATGACCATGTTTGCAAAATGAACTTGACTTAAGTATTTCCTTGGTAAATTTCTGTGAGACCACAAATGTGCAGCAGAATTCCAGGAAAATCTGTTAATTTTTTCACACTTTTAAGGAGCATAATCATCCATCATTTACCCTTTGAGTAGCTGTTGTAAGTCCTTGCGTTGCTTTATAATGTAGGGAAATGAAGGCAATGCTCCAGATAATGAAGAAGAAAAAGAAAAGGATAAAAGAGCTGTAGATTTGCTAAATACTTTCCGGGTAAGTTGCTTTTTAAACACTGGTGACATTCAAACATAATGCTGAACCATGGTTTAGTTAAAGGTAAAGGAACCCCTGACCATTAGGTCCAGTCGTGACCGGCTCTGGGGTTGTGGCGCTCATCTCGCTTTATTGGCTGAGGGACCCAGCGTACAGCTTCCGGGTCATGTGGCCAGCATGACTAAGCCGCTTCTGGTGAACCAGAGCACCGGACGGAAACGCCGTTTACCTTCCCGCCAGAGCGGTACCTATTTATCTATGTGCACTTTGAGGTGCTTTCGAACTGCTAGGTGGGCAGGAGCAGGGACCGAGCAATGGGAGCTCACCCCGTCGTGGGGATTCGAACCGCCGACCTTCTGATCGGCAAGTCCTAGGCTCTGTGGTTTCACCCACAGCACCACCCTGTGTCCCTGTGGTTTAGTGCTACATGAATGGGCCTAAGTTCATATGCTGCCTCTTCCTCTCCTCTTCCCACACAGCTGCTAGGAGTGTTTGAGAAGCTTTTGCTTTCCTTCTGCCTAACCATGACCTGCTATTTTGTCCAAATTTAAAACTGTAGATTAGCACAGTGTTTAGTTTCAACAAGGCCGCTTCATAACCCATGGTTCAAAGGTGGCACTTTGCTTTTATAAAACACATTGTAACTGTTAAACTAGCTTGGAAGAAACAAGCTGTGGTTAAGTGAAAGCAAAAACTTCTTGAATCCTTCTGAACGTGCAGTAGAAGAGGAGGGAACAGGTAGTGTCTGAGCCTAGGAAAAGGCTAGGCTCATTCATGCTAAACCATGGTTCACAATTACATATTAACATGGCCACAATATCTGCCAACAATAAAAAGAATGCGTGCCAAGTCTCTGTGAGTTGTGCCCTGATTATAATAAAATAGCTGCACATAAAAATAAATGAAATCAAATGCAAGTATGTTTTTACTATGAGGAAAAATTATTAAAATGTCCCCAAGTCTAAACTCTGTAACTCTTAGAGCAGGCTTCCTCAAACATGGCCCTCCAGATGTTTTGAGACTACAATTCCCATCATCCCTAACCACTGGTCCTGCCAGCTAGGGATCATTGGAGTTGCAGGCCAAAAATATCTGGAGGGCTGAGTTTGAGGAAGCCTGTCTTAGAGATATAGCCTGTATATCAGTGGCAATTTCTGGCCTCTTTCTTTTGGCTGTGCTGTCTTCTCGATGCACACAGCCCTTACTCTTTCCTGAGAGGTGTCTGCAATCTTGAAATAAAAGCCAAGAGATGCACTCTTTCCAAAATCCCTGTCTGCAACTCCACTGCCACAGGCTAACAAAGCAAAGTTATTGGTGGGGGCAAAGGATGCTTTCTTCCCTTAATGTGGCTCAGCCTCTGTCTCCCGTGAGAGCTGTTTGCAAAGAACTGCAGGCTGCGTGAACCCACCATGAGTCATTCAAACATGACTTGGGTGCAAAGCCTATAGCCCTCTCGCGTTGTTCCCCTGCAACTGATGTTAAGAGGCATGCTGCCTCTGATTCTAGAGGGACCAATGCCCGTCATGACTAGAAGCCATGTGTACCCTTGTCCTCCATTAATTTGTCAACTTCATTCCCCTTTCAACAATATCTTCTTGATCATACCTTGTGATAGTGAATTCAAGTAGCCATGCGTTTCCTTTAGAACAGGGGTGTCAAACTCAAATTCATCGGGGGCCGCATCAGCAGTTTGGTCACCCTCAAAGTCCCGGCGTAAATTGTATTCCTTCATCACTGCCACTGCCTCATAGCAAATAAGACATACCGGCTTGTCTCCATTAATCACAAACATGTATTCACTTTCCCATCTCTCCTGAAATTGCCTTCCCTCTGCATCAACTTTTCTTTTCTTGGACATTTTTGGGTTATTTGATTGTAGTTTATGGTCCCTATACCACTGTAAAGTGACACGGAAGTGGTTTCCTGAATGCATGTAAAGTGGAGGTTTCCTGTGTAGAACGGCCGGCGCCGCTAGAGGGCAGACGTTCTCTGGCTTGTAGGCTGCCGCGCATGCGCTGAAGAGGCGGCTTTCTTGTGTCAAAAAAAAAACGAGAATAAAAGGTGAAGGCTGGCGGTCGGCGGCGGCTACACGGGCCACATGACGAGGTCTGGCGGGCTGGATTCGGCCCGCGGACCTTGTGTTTGACACCCGTGTTTTAGAACTTCCTTTTGCTTGTCCTAAACCCTCAGTTTCATTGGATGGAAATGCTGGGCTAGATAGACCTTTGCTCTGTCTTTGCAGGGCTCTTTTGATAGTCCTATGCTATGGGTAGGCAAACTAAGGACCGGGGGCTGGATCTGGTCCAATCGCCTTCTCAATCCAGCCCGCAGAAAGTCCGGGAATCAGCGTGTTTTTACATGAGTAGAATGTGCCCTTTTATTCAAAATGCATCTCTGGGTTATTTGTGGAGCCTGCTGGTGTTTTTACATTAGTAGAATGTGTGCTTTTATTTAAGAATGCATCTCTGGGTTATTTGTGGGTCATAGGAATTAGTTCATTTTTCCCCCCTTCAGAATATAGTCCAGCCCCCACAAAGTCTGAGGGACTGGCCCCCTGCTGAAAAGGTTTGCTGACCCCTGTCTATGCTATGACAAGCAGCAGGCTTGAATGCTTCATGCTGCAGGGCGGGGAAATCTGTGACCCTCCAGATGTTGTTCGCCTGCAGTTTATTTCATCCCTAATCGTTGGCCACTGTGGCTGAAGCTGACAGGAAGTCCAAAGACTTCTGGAGAGCTGCAGGTTTCTCATCGATGACATACAACATACAGTGGTGCCTCGCAAGACGAAATTAATCCGTTCCGCGAGTCTCTTCGTCTTGCGGTTTTTTCGTCTTGCGAAGCACGGCTATTAGCGGCTATTAGCGGCTATTAACGGCTTAGCGGCTATTAACGGCTTAGCGGCTATTAACGGCTTTGCGGCTTTAAGAAAAAGGAAACAAACTCGCGAGAACTCGCAAGACGTTTCGTCTTGCGAAGCAAGCCCATAGGGAAATTCGTCTTGCGGAACGACTCAAAAAACAGAAAACCCTTTCGTCTAGCGAGTTTTCCGTCTTGCGAGGCATTCGTCTTGCGGGGCACCACTGTAGTGTGTATGTGGGAGTAGCATGGGCATAGCCAAGGTGGGGCAGGGAGAGGCAGCTGCCCCCCCCCAAATCAATAAAAATGTAAAATCAAAAATACATTGCTAACTGAGGTTCTACCCACCCCCCACAAAAATCCTGGCTATGCCCATGGAGAATAGTGAATGGTTATGTCTTAATATATGAAGTGAGAAATATGGGGATAAATAGGAAGTAGAAGGGCAATCTGTAAGACCCTTTCACCAGAGCCCGATTCCTTCCATCAACAAACGTTGTGATGAATATAATACTGAATAGTGCAGCATCTATCACACAGCTGCTCGCCAATCATTTTCATGTGTAAAACTGAACTTCACCTCCTTGGTTTATTCCTTTGTTTTGTTCCCTACGCAGGACATGTACCAGACAGGAGCAAAGTCTTTCAGTTTTCTGACCCTCTGTAAAAACAAGACAAAGAAAGAAGTTGCAGAGAAATTCTTTAGCTTGCTTGTTCTAAAGAAAGAACGAGCTATTGAGGTGGCCCAGGCTGCTCCCTATGCTGACATTGTGGTGACGGTGGGTCCAAACTTCCATACTCTCTGAAGAGTAGAGTGGTCTCCTTTTAACCATTAGTTGCTATGGTTGAAAACTGTACTCTGCATTCTATGAAAGTTGTAAAGAGACACCTTACAGCATACCTAGATCTTTGGATTGGACAGTGTCCTCCACTGCATAGATGTGCACATGCACTTAAGAACAAGAGCTAATAGACTATGTGCAGAAATATTATATTGTTAAAAAGGGGAAAAAAGAAACACAATGCCTTTGTTTAATTAGCACATCCAGAGTTCAAGCTGTATGTTAGGAGGAACACTGCTGCTGTTGTTGGTTTTAAAAAATGTTAAAGTATGATTTACATAGGTTACCTGTTTTTCTGTTTTCCATATGAAGTAAAAACAGGGTTAGCTATGTTTGATTCTGTATGCAAAACTGGCTGATGGTTAGCTATCAAAATGCGGATATTGGCACGTAGCAATAATGGGAATTCTGTACAGCTGTGGTCTTCTTGACCAACATTTGTAGTATTTAACATTTTTAGTTACTGCACACTGTATGGAGCATTGTATTAATTTCATTAAGGCAAACGTGATGCTTGTTCTGTAAGTTGCCCTATTTCAGGAACTGGGTGCATTTTTGCTGTTCATCCAAGTCCCCACAGACACCACACACTGGGTACTTGAGTTTGCACTTCGCAGACACTTGACGTATAGTGGCTATGGTGGCTTTGGTGACACAGGAGTGTTCCAAAAGGAGTGCTACCTGCCTCCTCATTCTACTCCTTGCTTTGCAGTATTGAAGCTTGAGGACAGTACCATCCAGGGACATCCTTAGGCTGCAGAAAGGACACCCCCCCCCAAAAAAAAGTGATGAGACAGATCTATTGCTCACTATGGTTTAGACCAAAAATATGGATGCTGGAACTCTTATAAAATAGTTGTATATATGTATGTGTTCTCCTAAATAATCTGTGTCGTTAAATACAGTGTTTTGTTTTTTTGTTTTGTTTTTGTTTTGTTTTTTCTCTCTCTCCTGAAACTTTAAACTCATTAAGTAAATGCATTTTTGAACCTGAAACATCTTTAAAATTGTATAATTTAATGCACTGTGTACGGGGGTGAGAAGCTTAGCAAAAATGTCGTCTAACTTAGAACAGTGCCAAGAGCCAAACTAGACTTGATGGCCACACAGTAGTTTGCTTAAACCTTAAGCTAGTTACTCAAACCTTAAACCATGCACAAACCAGGGGAACAAGGGGTCTGATTCCTGGAGCAAAAGCAGCACGGAGATGCTAAATCCTTCCTTGTCCACAGCTGATCTGCTTCATAGCCTGTGTCCACCAACAATTGAAGTGAAATTGTCCTCAAAAAAGCTTGAGGCGATAGATATAGGGAAATAAGCTGTGGATATATGGGGAGGGTTTTACACCTCATATTTGTGTCCCTATTAGGAATATTATTTGATATATTATACCTGTTCATGGTTCACTGGCTCTTCATTGGATCTCAGTCCGTAGCTGTTTGGATTCTTGGCTTTGCAGCGACTTCATTCCAGTTTGGAAAAGTTTGCAGCCTTAGAGAGCTGATTTGCCCATGTTGGAGGATTCCGACAGGCCTCTTCTCTCTCTGCCCTCCCCAGTGCCACAGAAGATGCAGGGGAGTCTGAGAGCTGGATAGCAGTATGGCACCCAGTCAGCCATGGAGGCAAACATGATTTTTGGGGGGAAGGTTTTAAGTTTACTTTTGCAAACTTTGACATCATTCCTAGTCCCTGTTGTCTAAAAACTGTACACACAACACACACACACCCTTCATGTGTGATTCAGAAATACCTTTGCAAGTCTTGGCCCATGCAGCTGGTGCACACACATTGAGTTGTATCAAAAAGCCCCACCACCCCACACAATTGGCGCTGGAGGTTTCCCTAAGTTTTCAAAGTAGGCTTGGTAGTGTTAAATAGTGGGTAGACATAGCAGACGATGCAGCAATTTCTCCAAAGCAGCTCTTTATTTGTAAGCTGGAACAGAACTGAACAGCAAACAGCTCAGCCGGCCTGCTTTTATAGGCAGCCGACTGCCAACATTGTAGCAACAACCACCCAGGGTTTCCTGCCTAAAGTAACTGACGTGGACCTGAGTGAAAACTACGGTATATACACAATACTCCTGGTGGCCAGGGTGAGAAATTCAATACATAACAGGTAGGAGTGTAGTAGAGCAGGGGGGGAGAAGAGTGAGAAGTTCCACTGCATGAGTAGAAGTCATTTGCACAATGACTTCAATTGGCTTCAACCCATCATGTTTGTTTGTTTGTTTGTTTTGTTTTTAAGAAAGGCAAAGAAATGGCCTGCACATGTATGCATGCACACAGACACACACGCACAGGGAGCACAGCTATTACCCACTGCAACAAGGCTCTTACCACTCAGCCCACCAGTTGCATAGAGAGAGGCAGAATATTTGGGACTGACACTCAATTGACTTCTGCTCAGGAATGTGTGAAAACTGTCTGCCATCTCATCTTCTATCTATGGTTTGCCTCTGAAACATATTGGTGCATGGCTCTTTAGAGACTGCATCTGGCAGGAGGATGTAAGCTTTTCTTCCCATTACTTACCTGGCCACCTTCTGTATTGGAACAGAGGAAGCTGTCTCCTTCTGAGTCACACCAACGGCCCATCTAGCTTGATACTGCCTGCATCGACCGGCAGTGGCTCTCCAAGGTTTCAGACCTCTGAGCTGTCTCTGTGAAATATCAACTAAAAATATAGGTGGTGATACAGCAGTACCCACTACAAAGGCTTTAGTGAATGTGTGCTGAGCTGGACTAGGTTTGCCTGCTCATGTCAAAGAGTAGCACTAAGGGCATCTTTACCCACCTTTACCTTTACCTTAAGGGCATCTACACTGCACTTACACTCCTCATCTGTTCTTCTGAAAAGTCTGACAAAACACAGACAAACCACAGGTAAATGCAGAATGAGAATGAATTGTTGACAGCATTGTATAAAGGTAAAGGTACCCCTGCCCATACGGGCCAGTCTTGCCAGACTCTAGGGTTGTGGGCTCATCTCACTCTAGAGGCCGGGAGCCAGTGCTGTCCGCAGACACTTCCGGGTCACGTGGCCAGCGTGACGAAGCTGCATCTGGCGAGCCAGCGCAGCACACGGAAACGCCGTTTACCTTCCCGCTGGTAAGCGGTCCCTATTTATCTACTTGCACCCGGAGGTGCTTTCGAATTGCTAGGTTGGCAGGCGCTGGGACCGAACGACGGGAGCGCACCCCACTGCGGGGATTCGAACCGCCGGCCATGCGATTGGCAAGTCCTAGGCGCTGAGGTTTTACCCACAGCGCCACCCACATCCCTTCAGCATTGTATAGAAGCCCCTATAAAAAGTGAGTGAATGAAACATGGTAATTGATTCATCCAGACAGGAAGCATCTACAGGGATAATGCAGTTGCAGAATTAGTGCCTTCATTCTTTCTTGGAATGAAGACTTCATTGCTTGCCAGCTATATACAGCACACAAAAGCATGCCTAACAGCCAATTTACATAATCTGAGATGCACTCTAGAATATGGTCTGACTGTTTCAGTTCGTGCAAAAAAAAAAAAAAAACGGCTCACAAAGTGTTGAAGGCAAGGCATATTTGGCAAACATTTAGGGTTCCACCAGCTGTTCCACTAGGCCTTTAGTCAGGGCACAGCCTGACTCCCTCCTTTGGCAATCTTCACAGAACTTTAGCCTAATGGTTGCCATCAATTTGAGTTGAGTTAATTTTAATGAAATGATTTTAGAATGCTGTATTATTTTATTGTTGTTAGCCACCCTGAGCCCGGCTTCGGCTGGGGAGGGCGGGATATAAATAAAATTTATTATATATTATTGTAGGAATTGGACCCAAATTTGAAACACATCAACAAAGATGAGTATGTAGCATACTCATCTTTTTACAAGTCCTGAAATACACAAGTGCTGAAATAGTTCCCGATTCTAATTAACAAGACCTGGCTTACACACACAGTAGAATGGGTTGGTAGAATCCTGAGGTGGTAGAGTAAACTTTACCACTTCAATTTGTAGACCACAGGTGCCGTTTTTAACTTCTGTACATGAAGCTCCCTGCAAGTAAAAAACACAAGACACTTGCTATGCTACTTTCCTACTTGCAGGGAGACCTGGGGGGGGGGGAGAGAAGCATTCAAAAATGTTATTCCTGGACCCCTACCTGAAGTGATGCAGTCTATTCGACTGCCTCAAAACTCTACCACCTCATTTTGTGGTATACGTAAACCAGACCTAAGAAATGGAAAGCAAGATGGGCCTATATTAGGATGCAGAGCTGTGTGTATAATAAGAGACAATCCAGTTTTTAGCAGCACTGGTTTACTGCTTTGGTTGCATTTGGGAAACCATTGTGATTGGGGCCAAACCTGCCCTAACTGCCCTTCCTGCCTTCTCCCTATTGTGAGTCAAACTAGAAGGGACCTCAAAGAAATATTTGAATCTCATGCTTGGGATACTCTTTTCTCTTTCCCGTTACAGTGGTGCCTCGCAAGACGAAATTAATCCGTTCCGCGAGTCTCTTCGTCTTGCGGTTTTTTCGTCTTGCGAAGCACGGCTATTAGCGGCTTAGCGGCTATTAACGGCTTAGCGGCTTTAAGAAAAAGGAAACAAACTTGCAAGAACTTGCAAGACGTTTCGTCTTGCGAAGCAAGCCCATAGGGAAATTCGTCTTGCGGAACAACTCAAAAAACGGAAAACCCTTTCGTCTAGCAAGTTTTTCGTCTTGCGAGGCATTCGTCTTGTGGGGCACCACTGTATCTTGGAGGAGGCACATCCCAAACATGGAGTTCATAAACATGTTTAGTGTCACATCCAGGTTAAGAAAGTGGCAGGGGATGCACAATGCATTTCTGTGAACAGAAATATACCTATTGCATGTTTCCTGGCCAACGCTCCAATCTCAGCTGTATCTGCTTCATGCATCTAATGAATTGAACTAGATAGTCCATGAAAGCTTACATCATTATAAATTTGTTAGTATTCAAGGTGCAAGACTTCCTGTTTTTCAGAATAATGAGGTTGCCTTGCTTGGTTTAAAATACACTCCAGAAATTCCAGGTAGTTTCTTTGTATATATGCCAGTAGCATTTTCTAAAAGTATAATGCCGAGAGAAAGCATTGAACCAAGTGAGCCAATTTTTTGAACTGAAAGTCAACATGACAAAAATTAGGTGAGAA